GTAATGAATTGTGTAGGGACAAAGAGGCAGCAGTGCTATAGTATTTCCTTCTGAAAACAAAAACCCAGAGACAAAACTCAGATAACCATGTTTTGCTTTATATATGCCTATGTGTATATTCACATACATATATGTAGCATACATATAGCATATATACACATGCATATATATATATATATATATATATATAATAGTACAAATATGAATCTTTTGTTTGCTCCTTTAGTTTGAGTCTTGGAGATTGCAGGGTCAAGAATATATGATTCAAATTCATAAATGCTGTTAAGAATATCTAAAATGGAAGAAGATTTTCACAAATGTTATTTGTTACTTACAGATTTCTAGCAGTGGCAAACTGCACCATCTGACTTTTGTGAAAGCAAGTCTAGCCATTTTAAGTCAGTTAGCAGCACACTTCTGTAGTTGTGGCACTTAAACACTGAAGCTGTAGATATTAAAAACTTTGACAAGATTTGACAGAAGACTATAAAAGTTTTGGTTAAGCACCTTTCCTTGAATCATATCTGGCTTAGATTTGAGTCACTGGCCCCTCAGCAATAAGGGATTCCTTTGTTCTACAAAGCCTGTAAGATAGACATTTCAGATTTCTAGTGCACTTTCTCTGTGCTGTTTTTTCTTAGTTTTCCTACCTATTGATCCGGCAACTCTGTCAAAACAGCGATTGCATTTTGTTACTAGTTGCCTGGATGATGTGAAATATGATAGGGTTGAAAAGTCCTTGTTGAAATCCAGCAGAATTTTTCCACTGATTTCAAGACAGTGCATATCTCACCTTCAGTTCTTCAATTACTCCCCAAATACATATTAAATATGCTTTACATGTCTTAGAACTAGTTGAATAGATACGTTTACTTGTTGTTTGGGATCAAAGGTCCCTGAATTATACCTTAGGTGAAATTCATGGTTTAATAGATGTAAGTCTGTTTGCCAAATTAATGTTCTCTCTGGAATTTACGATTTCTTTCACTGTAGTATTGGCTGGGAAAGTAAAAGAGATCTTAGCTTAAGAATTAAAATAAAATTCAAAAGGTTTTATCTAGGCTTGATTTTATTATTTTTTTTTTTAATCAAATGCTGGGGTCAGGACTTAAAAACAGCGTGGTTGAAAATGGTATCAGTTTAAGAAGTTAGTACTAAATCTACTCAAGAGATGCTTTTCTACATAGCCCAGCTTATGATACAGGAATGTAGTCCTCTCAAAAGCTTGGAAAGACAGTTTTGTGGTTTGTAAAATCTCAGGCTTTGAAAACTATAGGTGTATAGTTTTATCTTCTTTTGTTTTCAATTGTTTTTTTCTTCTCCAGTCTTAAGTTTACATGCAGGGAGTTGTTTGTTTGGGGGCTTTTTTGGGAGAGAAATTTTGTTACAGAATTATTATAAGGCATCTACCCACATTCAAAAAGGTTGAATACTGGTAAAATACTGTGTTTTGCTTGTACTAAATTGTATTAATTACCTTAAGACTATATATGCTGTTGGCATAATAGACTATACTATATATGCTAAAGCATTGTTTGAACAATGTTCTAGTGATTTCCCTGACAGAGAATTAAACCCCCAAAATATTTAAATGTGGTCTTTAAGTGGATGTAGTGGCTACCCATATGTCACTATCAGGAAAAAGAAATCTAATTGGGGTTTGGGTTGCTTTTGCTGGTTTTTTTAAGCTTAATACACACTGACCAATATAAATATGCTGCACATTTTGATGTGTTTATCAGCCTGTTTCTAAATGTAGGCAGCATCTCCTGAGTTAATTCAAGTCTTATAGAGGATTGTGAAGGGAAAACAAAATTATTTAGTTGATATTAGCAGATAACTTCAGGAAAAGTGGCAAACCAATTTCTCTGTAAGTTTACAGATTAAGTAATCTGTTTATTGATTCTCTTTTAAAAATATCTAGACTTCAAGTGAAAACATTTGTGAAGATTATGAAAAAATGTATACCTGTATTATGCAGCACATCAGAGCTGACACATGATTGTTAATATGTTTTGTAAATAATTATAATTCTCCTCTTTGTGTGTTGTGCAGACCCACAAGATGAAAATAAAATTGGCATTGATGGGATTCAGCAGTTCTGTGATGATTTAAGCCTGGACCCAGCCAGTATCAGTGTTCTGGTTGTGGCATGGAAATTCAGGGCAGCTACTCAGTGTGAATTTAGTAAAAAGGAATTTGTTGACGGCATGACAGAGTTGGGGTAAGTGTCCATTTCTGCATAGTTTATAATGTAAGGCCAGAACCGTGTTTCTGTTCAAAGCATTTTCAGTTAAATTGTGTGAAGCTTTAAAAAGCTGTTGTGCCAAACTTAACAGGTGGAAAGTGCTTGTAGTGTTTTGTCATCCTTGAATTGGTGCTTTACTGCAAAGCCTTAATGACAACAGTAAGGGGAAAGCAAAAACAATTTCTACCTGTACAGCAAGGGAGTAGATGGATTCACCTATCTTTTTATGTAGTTCATAGTAAGCATATGCATATTTGTGTTAAGGATTTGAGTTGGACTTCCTGCTGTTAAAAACTGAAAGTCACTGGAGTTGTATGAGGGGAAAAACAGTCAGTGTTGAAGCAGAAAAGAAACAGGAAAAGAAAAGAAAGCCTTCAGTTCTTTCCTTTAATGTTGCCACCAGAAAATGGACCCATATTTCTTTTTGTCCATTTTACTACACAAACTTTTCTCTCTTTTATACTTGATACTTCATTTATATAAAATATCTATGAGGAATTGAAATAAAAATGAGGATATTGGTAGTAGAAAAGATTGGTCCAACTGTGATGTAACTGATAAAAATTTCTTTCCTGGGTTATGGAGCTATTCTGGATAATAAACTTTGAATATTGCCTCTGTTTACCAAAATCAAGCATCTATCATTATAAAATAATATTTTGTGTATAGCTTTTCTTTGCAAGAGGAGCAGCATTTCTAATATTTAGAGATGACAAATTACTCTTTTTAACAGGTTGCATTAAATGGATGGATAAGTACAGTTTATTACTTGTTCCTGGTTTTTGTAGCTAAACAATTTCTTTTGATCTTAGAATGGCACCTTATCAATACATTTCTAAGACAGACCAGCTTTTAGGAAATGTGGTGGTTGTTTCTTGAGCAGAGATTGTAGCAGTCTGATGTTACTGACCTCATCAGTTATTGACTTCTTTTTAAACATTTTTTTTATAAAATTATGATGAAATGACTTTTGATGCCATCTGAAGTTCACTGCTTTATTTTGCCCCATTGTGTATCTTTGGGTAGAAATTACAAGAATAATTATGATTTTCTAACCATGGATAGAAATTAAGTGCTCATACTATTATATAAAAGGTTGCCTTTTTATTTTTTTCCTCATAAGAGTGATTTAAAAGGTTTTGCTCAACCACCTGTTCTTGGAACAACTGTTCTTGGGAGCATAATGTGGCTGCACCCGCTTGCCACAGCACTTACTGAGAATTTGGAGTGATTTTATTACATACTTGGAGGCACAGTGTCTGTGGTTTTTAGCAATGAACACAAGTGAGCAGTTGAATGGAAAGACATTCCCTGAGGCTTAGATCACACAGCATCTTTAGGATGCATATGGGATGGTATATTTATTGACTAGATCAAGTCCCAATGAAGCAGAGTGTCTCACTTGAAGACTGTTGGCAGAATTCTTTCTTTTCTCCTCCAGGTACTGCTGGAGGCCAGAAAGAAACTTATTTTTATCTCTACCATGCAAGACAGTTAAAAGTGCATTTGTGTTTTAAGGATGTTGTTATAGTTACCCATGCTTTAACAGAATTTTTCTTGAATCTTTAGAATAAATACAAACATTTACCTACAGAGAACTTTCAAATACACAGTGTTGTGATAGATGCTTTTTTTGAAACCTGTTTGTTTCACTTTGAGTTTCTAGGTACAATTCAAGATATTGATAATGTCCTGTTGTAAACCTTGAATATTCATTTAATGCCTCATTGTGGCAGAAGCACTTTCCCTTTAAAAGTGTCTTGTCAGCTCACATATTTTCAGTGAAAATGCTTTGGTGGTGTTATTCAGGGATGTGTTTCTGTTGGAATTTCAGGAACTTGATTCTGTCCTAGCTTACCTGTGCCAGGCTGTTAGTTTGCCAGCCTTCAGGCTATCATTCAAGGCTCATTTTGTTCCTCAGTTTTATTCTAAAGTGCTCTATGATGGGGAGAGAATGACTGCAAATAATGGTTCATTTAGCTGGAAAGCCCTCAAATGTTCAGATGAACCATAAAAATGTAGTGTGAAGCTCTTTATTCAGGGGAGCAGGGAATAAGCAATGTCTATCTAGATTAAAGCAAAACGTCACACACTTGTGGTACAGCATCTGTCTCAGGGGAAGGAATAACAGAGTTCAGTGAGGTTTGGGTGTTCTTTAGGAACAGAGTAGCATCTGTTCAGAAGTTCATAAAGGGATAGAAAAGAAAAACCACTGAATCCTGTTTGCAGGATTGCCTGTATGGATGCCTGTATACAATGTTCCACTTAAAATTCTTCAGTAAAGGCATGTGAGCATTTATATTTTTCAGAACGCTATCCGCAAAGATAATGTTTTTATCTTAACCACTGTTTTCTTTTGCTCTTAAACTACACCATAAAAAAGGTGGGGTGAAAGTAGGAATAAACTTTAAATATATACAAATAATGTAATCTCTTTTGAACAGGTGTGACACCACAGAAAAGCTAAAAGCTCTATTGCCAAGACTGGAGCAAGAGCTAAAGGATCCAGTAAAGTTCAAAGATTTTTATCAGTTTACTTTTAACTTTGCTAAAAATCCTGGACAAAAAGGTCTAGGTAAGTAGAAAAAAAAAGAGAAAATGTCTGCAGTCATTGAAGTGTTCCAAATGTTTCCAGTACTACAATATTCTCATTGGCAATTGTATAGTAAATTCATTATTGATTTCCTTCACTGGCTTCTCTTTCCCATCTTCTTTCATTTAATCTCTTCTTGATGTCCCCTTGGTACAGATAACTTAATGGGGTTCTCTGCCAATATTGACATTCTCTCACCTCTTGTCGAAAGAAGTTCCTGCAGTTCTTTGAGACCTGACAAATTTTATTTTTTTTTTTAAATACTGAGCTAGTGAGCTCTGTGTTCTAAGAACTACTGAAACAAGATGTCTATATCAGCTCAGGAAGAGGGAGAAAACTGGGAAAGAATTACTGTTCTGAGCTAAAACTAAAAATTTTAAGAAGTTTTCATGTATAGTTTAGAAAAAGGGTTCTATGGACTTGGTTTAAAACTAGTGAGTAAAAGTAGGCATAGTTCATATAGCATTAAACTTTATTCTTCATAAAGTTTGAGGTGTATTCCTATCCATGCCTTTTATTGCTGGAGTAAAACTGATACATCATTTAAATTCCATTGCTTTCTTTAAATCAAAAATCTCTAGTTTGTGAATAGATGAAAAAAACAGTAAGATGAAGTCCACTCTTCAAATTTATGTCCACTTTCAGAAGATACTGTGTAGGAAGGAATTCATGTTTTGTATATAGAATAGCACTGTACCATCATCCCTGTTCTTCGTGCTGTGTGTGAGAGGAAGTGGTTTGTTGGTTTTTTTAGGGTTTGTGTTTGGTTTTTTTTTTTTCTTTTTTAGCGTAGCGACTTTAAATCTGTGTCTAATTTACTTGGAAAGTTGGTAAATGTTTTTCTCAAGAACTCTTAGGAGAGCAAAATAGCAACTTAGACCTCAACCAGGTGTGTCTGTTCCATGTTCTTTGATTTGAATAATCTCTCTCATCTTTTCTGGTGTCTTTTTTTTTTTTGAAAACTAAGGACAACTTTTAGCCACTTTATATTTTTCTTCATTTTTTTTCAGCAGTTTCATTTTTTCATTTCATCTGTCACTCACGGTTCATGTGCCACTGCCACTAAAATGAGGAGGTCTTGTAGTAGCTCTCTGAGGTTGGTTAGAAATCTAGTCCTTTAGCTAGTCTTCATTAACAAAGCTTAATACTTTAAAATTGCATGAAAGATTAAGTCAGTTACAGCTGAGGTTGGAATTGATGGGATACTTAAAGAAGTACTACAAATAGCTTCCTGTTTTAATTGGGTCATTCCAACATGAAGCTCATTAACTTGGGCAGTACGTTTCAAAAGCTTCTCACCTAAGTTTTATAAAGAGTGGAGGAGAGGAGGCAGCCCAACCCAGATTTGGAACTGAATGTACTGTTTTATTTGGTATTGGGGGTCCTTACTTTTTACCTAAGTCTGTCTTCTCTGTTGTGTAAGGAAGATGTTCTATTGCCAGAAAGTACCAAAGTTCCTTCTTGCACTACAAGTTGAACTATTAGCAGGAGAAAGTAAGAATTGCAAAAATTGTAGTAAAACTTAAACTGTGGAATGAATCGATGGAAACTGTTGCTGATTTCAGTTTTCAGGAACTTTAGTCATTTTGATAATATTTACAGTCTCTTAATTCATAGTCCTTAGTTCTTATATGGCAGTATATTGGTGGCATTTTTCATCAGACTTTTTCTGGTTTTGGTAAAATGATTCTAGATAGTAAAGAAGTATAAGCAGATGCTACTTCTCTTACTTCAGTAGAGATACACCATATTTCTTGGATCACCATAGGTTGAGTAGAGACTGTTGAGCAAACATATGGACTACTGTGACATTTTTGAGTGACTGAAGGCAGTGATAGTTTACCCAAATAAAAATTAGCACTATATAGGTTTGGAGATGGAATCTTTACAGGGATTATCCATCATAGAGGAGCAAAGAGGTGAGGGAAAAAAAATTAAATTTACAGGTAGGTGTTTGTAGTAATCACAAAAGGAGGCAGTATGTTGTGACCAAGGAAGAAGATCCCACCAGTTATTTTACTGGAGTGCCTGTATGAGCTGAGAATTTTAGTTGCTTCAGCTACATTTAATACAGGTTTAATTTTTTGGGTTTTTTATTTCACATCCTCTTCTTTGTGTACATTTATGTACTTTCTTCTGGAATGAGCAACTGTACAGCAGCTGTTTAATCCCTGTCTCCATGATTGTTTGGTATTTGTGTCCAATGGCTGTGTGCCCTATTTCCAAGGAGATGTGGGAATTGATAGTGGCCATGTTCAAAATCTGTTTCTGTCTTACTCAGTTTGGAGCCTTTACTTTGATTAAGTCCAGATAGTTAAACAGATTGAATAAAGAGATTTGTTACCATCTGAACTGGTAGAAATCTATGCCTAGCTCTGTCAAGGTCATCATTCAGTCAGCATAGGATGCTGCTTAGCTTCTGCTCAAGTTGCTTGCCTTAAAAGTCTTTCTGGTGAATTGAAACTTGGAGGACACTGAGAAGTCTGTAAGTTAACACTAAGTAAAGGATAAAAGTGAATGTTTTGAATTAATGAATTGAAAATAATCTAGGAATTCTGTCCTAAATTTCAGTTGCAGAATATGTGATTTTTCTAGGGTCTGAAGTATTCAGTGCTTTTTCTTATTTGGCTGGGAGCTTAAATCACCAAATGTGGTAATTGTACTCATTGGTTAGGGAACTGATCTCTAAGCCAAAAGAATATTGTTTGATTCTTGGGTATACACATGACCTTTAAATGTACCTATTTCAAAACTAAGCAAGTTTGACATAGTGCCAGTGACAAATGAGGAATTCATATTCTTAGCAGATTGTTAATAGAAACCTTTTATAAAAGAAGACGTAATTAAATTCCTTCTGTTGGGTCCTCCAAGTGCTAGGGCATCTTTTTTTTAACAGAAATAACTTTTGAGACTAGAGCTAGAGACCAGAAATGTGTCTGTGATAGGCAAACTGACTTACACAATTATTGGTCATGGTTTTTTGTTGTTTGTTACCTTAGGATATTGAAACCATAAGAAACGAGTGAAATACCTCTAAAATGTTCAAGCAGCAATGGTTTGGTTATGAGTTGGTGTCCTAGTTTAGGGCAAATTTGGGAGAAAACTCCAAATGGGGTTCCCCCAGGAAAACAAAATTCAAATGACCCCTCCCCCCAACTAGTCTGGTGTTCTGTCACCCCAGGACAGTCAGGTTCATTGCTCCATCATTTCAGATTACTTTTTTTTTTAAATCTGTATCTGCTGTTTTAAGAAGTGATATGCAACAGTTACTACTTTATTTATTGTCCCCTCTCCTCTGAAAAACACCAGGAAATAGCAACTTATGGGTGCCTTTTTAATATGCCAGATGGTCTTTAAATTTAAAAGGTAGAGAAATACTTATATAGTGTATTCCATTGTGCTTGACAGGCTAAACATCTACCAAAACCCATTCTTGCACACGCTTTTCTAACCAAATGCACTGTGGTATGCTACAGTATATACTAAATTGCCTTTTCAGTTTGAATAGGTATTGAGATTCAAGGTCTGATTTGTACTGGTCCTCTGGCTGAACAAGTGTGAGAGTCATTGCCTTCACAAAATAGAATCTTAAATTTTTTGATGGCAGGTTTCATACATCTTTTTCCATGTTTTCTTAAACCTATTGTTAGGGTTTTTTTCTTCTTTTTCTAGCATATAACTTAATTCTTTGTTTCTGAATTTTCTAGTTTAATACTTTAACCAGCCAATATTAACCATTAAATATGCAGAATACATTTCCTTAGAGTAAGAAACAACTTCTTTCATAATTGGTGATTATGTATGTGTCTTCACTTAGTCTCTGGACTGAGTAAAACCAACTACCCTGATAAATTTTATCTCCTAGCTCTCTGATACTGGAATTTTGTCTTTCAACTCTCATTTCCTTTGCAATCAAATTAGTCTAATTTTCTCTTGTCATGTAGTACCCAAACAAGCCAGATGCCTTCCATGTGTCTTAGATATTTTGCTGCTTCTTTTGCATCCTTTTGAGTTTGCTTAAGTCTGATACTGTCTGCAGTTTGCAGTCTGTTTTACTATTGGGTTTCTGCAGCACTGCTGCAGTCTGATCTTTCTGATCTGATATTTCTTCAACTGATTATTCCCACTAGCACTATGACTTTGCACTTCTCTTTAGTGCAATCTTTCTTACTTATTTCCAAGTGATTTTTCCAATCTGTCCAAATAATTTTCAGTCCTAATCCTGTCTTCTATCATGTTAGACTTTTTTGAGGTTTTGTCTAAGTTGCAAATTTAGCAGAAGTTTTCTTTGTTGTATTACCTGAGTTACTTAAGTACTGGGCAGTTTTAGGTACACGACTGACCCGCTTGGATGAGTTGCTTTCTCCAGTTTGGCAGGGAATGCCTGAGGTTCTTCCAGAACTTCTTTGACCTTTATGAAGTTTCAAACATGGTGGGAAGCAGTTTGAGATTGCTTCAGCATGCTGAGGTGAATTTCACCATGTCTGGCTTCACTTTAGCCAGTGGTGCTTGAAGACTGTATTTCTAAAAGTTTTGTCTAAAATACCTGTCAGTTTTCATCGAATCTTTTTGCTTGGAACATAGCTTGGAAAAAAATCTGTGTGTCCAGACTTTCTGGAGTTATTATCAGCAGGACACAGTACCTTTTATCACACCAGTTGTCATTTGTAAGATGGGGAATGGGAAGGCACAGAAGCCATCCTTAGAAGGTTTTTTGGTGATACAAGAATTTTGATGATATCTGACACAGCTGTCTTCATAATTCAGAGGGGATTTTGCTCCAAGAAAGTGGTCTTGGAGGGTAGGAGTGTGTGTGTAGTTTCCTGTGTTATTTATTTTTGGAAAAGCCTGTCTTCCCTTGCTTTTTATTTTCTTATTCTTCTCCTGTTCCCTTCAAAACTAATGCAAGCTAGATAGGAAGAATCCTCTCCAATAAACTAAGTTACATCTGTTCTGTCATTCCCTAAAATAGACACAGAATT